AGGAAAAGGGGTTGGTGATGGCTGCTGGAGTCATCCCACTCTGCTTCAGCTTCCTCTCTTGCACGTGAAGGAGCAGACTTTTACCCAGAGACCACATACCGTGGTCAGGACATTTCCCTCACAATCTCAGCACATTGGTGATGGCTTCCAATCACATGTCCCATGGAAGGCGATCTTGTCAGTAGGAGGCAGCCACGTCACCCCCTTCCTCTCCTTTCACCTTCCTCCACTGCCATCCCACCACGAGAGGGCCTTCAGGCTTTCCCTGTGTGTACCTGGAGCTGGACCAGGAGACCCTCCACTTTGGGAAATGCCCAGGGTGTGGACATGCAACAGCACAAGGGCTTCACCCGCTGCTTCTGATGAAACTCCCCCCGGCGGGTGGCCTTAGAGATTGCGCCTGTGGGTTACATGGAGCTGCAGATGGGGTTTTATCTGCAGATTCTTGTCTCACCCAACCTCATCCATCAGCACTGTGGGGACAGCTCACTGCTCTCTGTATTTCTTTTGCTTTCCCATTCTCTCTAGTGCTTTTTTGCTTTCTCTCTTCCTTTCTTGCCCATTTTCTCTCTACATCTCTCTCTCTCGTTCTCTCTTTCTTCCTAGTTTCCTTATGTCTTTGTACTTCTTTTGCATTCTTCAAACTGTAATATTCCCCTACTCCTTATTCTCTACACCACTCCTCCCCCACCACCAACCAGGACCCCTTGGCTTGCCCGTTTTTGCAATCCTTTTTGCAGATCCCGGCCTTGCTTGGACAACAGAGATGGCCAGAGCTCCCCCAGGGCATCCTGTGTCAGACTTTTCCCAGGCAAGACATCTCCCAAAACACCACAGAACTCATCTGCTGAGCCAAAGGGGACAAAGTTTATTCGCCGGGGACAGAGCAATGAGGGTCACGGCCATGGCAATAGAGCGCGGGCACAGGGACTGAGCCCGGCTGAGAAGCGCTGCGCTGGGCTGGGCTGGCTCTGTGCTCCGTGCCCCCGTGTCTCCATCTCCTTTTGGTGGTCGGCGAGGAGACGCATTTCCAGGCCTCCTCGCCAGCAGTGCCTTACACGGTGGTCTCCACTGCAGCATCCCCACGCACGTGGCTCCCCTCCTCACTTGTCACTTTGTCTTCGAACACTCGGCGAAGGGCGACTTTCACTGAGCCTTGGAAGCAGCGCTGCCGGCAGCTCCCCACCAGGAAATAAACGACTGGGTTGACGCTGCTGTTCAGCGATGCCAGCAGGTAAGCAATCTGAAGTACCAATAAGCGTGGAAGATAATAACGAAGAAAAATGACAGCAGTGAGAGGAAGCCCAAAGATGAACATGAAGATGACGCTGAGGAGGACAGCAACCTAGAGTTTGCTCGGGTGACGTCTCTGTGAGGCACCTCGGAGTTTGATGAAGAGGGACAGGTTGGAAAGCAATGGGAACACAGAGAAAATGAGAAAATTCACAATGCTTATACCATCTAACAGTTTTTCACACTGTTTATGACCAAGTAAACCACAACTTATGAGAGTCAAAAGAACAACAAGTCCAGCAAGAACCCAGAGCACCCCACACATGATGCCTGACAAGTGCTTTGGGCGGTGACACCGGTACCAGATTGGGAACAAAACAGAGACGCACCTCTCAATGCTCATGGCTGTCAGGAGATACATGCTGGCCAAATACCAAAACCCAAACAGAATCATCAGGATAATCTTGGTCAAATCCTCTTCAAATGTGGAAAAACAATTGGTTGTTGAAATAACGTATAATGTAAGTATCACAAGAATGAACAGGAGCAGAGAGAAGTCAGTGATGGCCAGGTTCAGGACATAGAATGTGAAGGGGTTCTTCTTTATCTCGCAGGGGAGGAACCGCAAAACCACTGTATTCCCCACAAGTCCCCAGAGGCAAATACCAATAAAAACACTTGCAGTTATCAACAAATTAAAATTTTCTTTTATGCACCAATTTTGTTTAACTGCCTGAGAGATTGCATATCCAGAATCTATGTAGTTCTGAGAGAGGTTGGTTGTGTTGGTCTCCTCCATGGCGAATGACCCTGCTCTGGGTGGCCACCTTCTCCCTCTCCCACCACTCCTAGGAGAGACCAGGAATCAGAAGGAAATGAGGGGCATCAGCGTTCCCAGCACTCACCGTCTTTCTCCACTGCCCCATGCCAGCCCCAGGGCATGCCAGGAAAGAGCCGTCCCCTGCCATGACCAGGACAGGCTTCCCGCCCTCCAGC